CATGAATCAGGTCACCGTGTATCTGACACTGATGGCACTTCCGGACAAAACTGAAGCAATCCTTTTCCATGGTCACTAGTAATAACCTGCTCGAAGGATTTTTTTTTGCAAGGACATATCCATTCATGTAGGCCCCACATACTCCCGAATGCACTTCTTTCATGATCTTTTCAGCTTCTTGGGCATCTACATACCTCAAAAGATTCAGATCTGGAGTTCTTTTGTACAAGACTTCTCAGCTCAAGAAGAAACTACTGGCAAGCCTTCTAATAGTTCTCTTTTGATCTCCACTGGCCTACTTGGGATATTCCTTTGTTTTCAAAAACCTTTTGATGTCATGGTACCATGGATGAACATCTAATTCTATTTCAATTTCATTACAATACCCATGCCTTTCTCGAATTTGGATTTCTAGTGAGTCAATATGGACATTGCCCGGATACGACAGCATTGAGGCCAAAGTAGCTAGTGCATCAGCTAACTCATTGTGGAATCGAGGAATATACCTGAACTTGACGGACTTGAACCGTTTTCTAAGATCTTCCACATGTTGCGTGTATGGTATAAGCTTGATGTCGCGAGTTTCCCATTCACCTTGAGCTTGCCGGATAATCAAGTAAGAATCTCCCATGATTAACAATTCTTCCACATCTATGTCAACTGCCATATTTATACCCATAATGTTGGCTTCATATTCAGCGGTGTTGTTTGTACAGAAGAACCGAAGCAGGGCTGCGGCCGAATAATGCTGACTGGTGGGCGAAATCAAAATTGCCCCAATCCCGACACATTTTGCATTTGTAGCTCCATCAAAGAACATTTTCCAAGCGTTGGTGTCTTCTGGAATTACTTCAACTGAATTTATTTCCTCGTCCGAAAAGTATGTACTTAGGGGTTGGTATTCATCATCAACCGGGTTCTCAGCTAGGTGATCCGCCAAGGCTTGGGCTTTCATCACCGTGCGGGTGACATAGACAATGTCAAACTCAGTGAGCAGGATTTGCCATTTTGCTAACCTTCCCGTGGGTATTGGTTTTGGAATATGTACTTCAGAGGGTCCATTCTGGTTATGAGATATGTGATTTAGGCCAACAGATAATGTCTTAGCTTATGGGCAACACAAGTTAGGACGCAACAAGTTATTTCCAACAAAGTGTACTTGGCTTCATAACTAGTGAAATTTTTGCTCAGATAGTATATGGCTGGCCCTCTCTTCCCGGTAACATCATGTTGTCCTAGGACTGTAAGGTACCAGAACAAAGGTCTCCCTAGCTCGGGTGGAACCAACATTGGTGGATTCTACAGATATTCTTTGATTTTGTCGAAAGCTTCTTGACACTCATGTGTCCATCTGATTGCCGCATCTTTCTTCAACAACATAAATATGGGCTCACACGTGGTAGTCAGGTGAGCGATGAACCTGCTGATGTAATTCAATCTTCCTAGCAGACTCATGACCTCTTTCTTGGTTCTTGGAGGTGGCAAATCCCAAATAGACTTTATCTTTGTTGGATCTAACTCGATACCCCTCCAACTGACTATAAACCCTAGAAGTTTCCCAGATGGAACTCCGAATGCACATTTAGCTGGATTAAATTTCAAGTCATACTTGCGCAGAGCTCAAAGAACTTTCTCAAATGGTCTTCCTGCGTTCCGAATTTAATGATCACATCATCCACATGCACCTCAATTTTCTGGTGCATCATGTCATGGAAGATGGCAGTCATAGCTCTCATGTAGGTTGCCCCGGCGTTCTTCAAACCAAATGGCATGACCCTGTAACAGTAAGTGCCCAAGGTGTGGTGAAAGCCGTCTTTTCTGCGTCTTCTTCATCCATCAGAACCTAGTGATACCCAGCATAACAATCCACGAAAGACTGTATCTCATGTGTGGCACAATTGTCAATAAGAATGTGGATATTTGGCAATGGAAAGTTTTTCTTGGGGCTTGCTTTGTTCAAATACCGATAATCAACACACACTCGAGTTTTCCCGTCTTTCTTTGGCACTACGACCATATTATCCAACCATGCTGTGTATCAGACCACTCGGATCACACCAGCTTTCTATTGTTTGGTGACTTCTTCTTTGATTTTATTACTGATGTCCGTCTTAAGCAATCTTTGCTTTTGTTGGACAGGTGGAGAACCGGGATAAGTTGGCAATTTATGCACCATCAAATCGACACTCATCCCTGGCATATCATCATAGGACCATGCAAATACATCCTTGAATTCAAGCAAAAGTTGGATCAATGCATCTCTAGTTCTTTCATCGGCATAATTTCATATCATGGTTTCCCGGACCTCTTCTGGACAACCCAAATTAACCGGCTCGATTTCATTTAAGTTTGGCTTAGGCTTATTCTAAAATTGTTCCAGTTCACGATTTATTTCCCTAAAATCCTCATCTTCGTTATATTCTGGTTCTTGATTCATTATTTCACAGTTAGACAGCATTTTAGGATCTAGGCATGAAGTCCGCAAGCATGTCATGTTATTTAAGTCCGCATTATTAGAACTGAAAAGAAAAGATAAGAAAAATAACAAAATCAGAATGAAGAAAAAAGAAGACATCCATTGATGATGAAATATTGATTTCATTTCATTGAATTGAAGATAAGAGGGTTTACATTGAAATTAAAAGACAATAAAATAAAAACATTCGAGTTACACCCTGAAATAACTCGAAATGCAGAAAATATGGCAATACTGGACTACCGGGATTCTTGCTTGACATGGAATGAGGTAGCCTTCCAGTTCTGAAGCTTGGCATTTGGTCCCATGTACAACACCTCAGTAGTGCTCGTACTTTCCCCCGGCTGGACCATGTGGGACTCGTACAACTTTTGTTTCATGGCTTCACAAATGTCCTCAATCTCTTCGGTCATGAAGGCCTCTTCCTCTTGTTCTTCTCCATACTTGGGTTTAACAAATGACTTGGCGAGATGTGGAACGGGCTGAGGCAGGACCCACCCATTTTTCTTGCGCTCATCAACCCATTTTATGTCGGCATTTGTAGCTTGGAAACCTACGCCGAAGAACTTCTTATTGGCGGTCGAAGTAATGGTCTATTTGATGCCTGGTAGAGATACCTCGAGTCCTTTCCCGGGCTTGTACCCATGTTTAATCATTTCACTGGCTACCATGACCGATGCAATTGATAAGCAAGGTTGAGGAAACGGGGTCCCTTCTTCACATTGGTCGGTGACCACAATTTCGAAGACTTGATAGACAATGTGCTCACTTCCTTCTCTAGCTTCGAGACACGGGACTGAAGGGTCCCTGTAATGGACTGTTCATCCTCCTCGTGGACAACATTTCTTGGTTTTTATGTTCAAACCTGACCATTTGGTGGAGAGTGGAGGGCACAACTCCTGCATAGTGAATCCATGGTCTTCCTAGGAGAAAATTATATGAAGTATCTATGTACAGAACCTGCAAAGTCACTTCAAAATCCACAGGTCCAATGGTCAAAATCAAGTAAATTTCCCCTATTGAATATCGCTTGACACCATTAAAAGCGCGCACACAGACATTGTTTGGTCGAATTCTTTCTGTTCCAATTTCCATCCTTTGAAGCGTTGAGAGAGGGAAAATGTCGAACCCGAACCCTCCATCTAGCATGACCCTTTTCACATAATAACCTTCGAATTTGATAGTCAAGTGAAGGTCTTTGTTGTGCGCGGCTCCCTCTGGGGCCAAATCATCGCGGCTGAAAGAAATCGTGTTAACTTCGAAGAATCATTCAACCATTTTCTCCAATTGTTTGGATGAAGTTTCAACCGGGACATACGCCTCATTCAATGTTTTCAAAAGTACCTTCTGATGTTCATTTGAGCTCAATAGCAGGGATAAAAGCGAAACCTGGGAAGGAGTCTTCCGGAGTTGATCAACTATGGCATATTCCAAAGTTTTCATTTTTTGGAAGAACTCTTCTGCTTCATCAGCGCTCACAGGCTTCTTGGGTGGAAACCGTTTCTCCTTGTTCAGTTTTAACTTCTTTAGCTCTTCTAGGTTGTGGTACTTCCCAGATTGGTTCATTTCGTTCACCTCTCCCATAATCTCTTTCCCCTTGTAAGTAACCACTCTTTTGCTATAATTCTAGGGGACTGCAGTGGGATCTCTCATAGGGTTCTGTGGTGCGCGATTGATAACCACGGGCTCAGTCAGCCTTGATGAAATTACCGGCCCTCGCGCCACATAAGTCCCTTTTGGCACATACAACTTTGGCACATTCAACGTGACTTTCCTTTGCTCAAATATTCAAGGAGTGCTTAACATGAGATGCTCTTTCCTTGGGGCCCTAGGAACATAGAGAATTGCGTCCTAAGCAGGTGCTGCCCCAGCTTTTGTTTACACAGCTTTTTCTGCAACTTGAGGAGTTGGAGAGATTTTCTTCTTCTCATTTCTGGACTATTTTGTCGCCGCTTTAGGTCTTGCCTCCGAATCGGCAATCTCGATAATAGCTTTCAAGGCTGGATCAAATTCTTTATCATCATAAATTATTCCAATGACCGACCCGTTGTTGTGAGCTGGTAATGGATTGTTAGTCACATTAGGGACTTCCTCATCCCTCAGCACCACTCGTTTCTGTTCTATCAAATTCTCAACTGCCTTTTTGAGAGTCCAATAATCCTCCGTATCATGACCCTTTGCCTTGAAATGATAGGCACACCTGCTATCGGGCCGGTATAATGGAGATTCCGGATTTTGCCGGTTTGGAGGCACATGTTGCAATAGACCCATCTGGATTAATTTCGGAAACAGTCTAGAGTAGGACTCACCAATATGGGTGAAGTCGTTCTTATGGGAGGCTCACAGGGGCGTGTATTATGTTGGTATTTGTTTTGTGGTGGACGGGTTATATGGAGTTTGGTGAGGATGGTTATTTCTTGGAGGTGGAGCCCGTTTTGGTTGTGGTGCTGCTGTGTATAGGGTTGGCAATTATCACCGCATAAGGAGGCGGTGCCACGACATATGCTGCATCTTGACGGGGGTATTAGTGTTGTGGGGTTCTGGGAGGCAGGTAAACATTATCACGGGATAGACGGGGGCCTCTCAAACTTGAAGCCATCACGACTCCTTCTTCCCTCTTCTTTCGATTTGCTAAGCCTCTTGAGCCATTCTGGATGGATTGGGAAGTGGCTCTCAAAGCAGATTGACTTATGATTCGGCCAGTTTTCAGGCCATTTTCTACCATTTCTCCGATCTTTATGGCTTCTGTAAAAGGTTTTCCCATGGCAGACATCGTGTTATGAAAGTAATCGGCCTCTTGGGCCTGCAAGAAAACATGTACCATTTCTGTCTCATCCATTGGTGGTTTCACTCGAGCTGCTTGCTCACGCCACTTGATAGCGTATTCACGAAAACTTTCCACGGTTTGCTTCTTGAAATTGGTCAGGGAATTCCTATTTGGGGCTATATCAACATTGTACTGAAATTGCTTGACAAAATCTCGGGCCAGGTCATCCCATATATGCCAATGGGAGATGTCTTGGTCCATGTACCATTCCGACGCAATTCCCATCAAGCTCTCCCCAAAATAGGCCATCAAAAGTTCTTCTTTTCCACCCGGCCCTCTCAGCTGATTACAATATCTTTTCAAATGAGCGATCGGGTCTCCATGCCCGACGTATTTCTCGAATTTTGGCATTTTAAAGCAACAGGCAAATGAACACGAGGAAAAATGCCCAGATCGGAGTACGAAGCACTCTTTTGGCCATCGGGCCTTGCATGTTCTTAAGACTTTGTTCGAGACTTTTAATTTTTCGAGCCATTTTTTCTTGCTCGGGGTTTCTTGCCATTCTTTCCTGCTTTACAAACAGACGTGGAAATTACTAACTGACTCAAAAAGGTGAAATACAGACTCAACCAAAAGAAAATCAGGAATACATAAGAGCCTCCAAAGCTACTCCGGGGACCCGCGGGACATCAGTCGGTCTCGACGCGGGCCTACATGCAATCTCTTCTTGAAGGTACTCTAAATCAACCATCACCTGACGGACGAAGGTCATCACGGCAGCAAAGAACATAGACCTAGTCATATCTTTGCATTCATGGCACTTCATTGCGACATAATCAACAATTTCTTTAATCCTTATTCTAGTGACGCCCTTTTCTTGGAGTAGGCGTCCAATTTCCTGAGACCGGGCCTCCAACACCTGCATGGCCGTATGGTTTTGGTCTTGCAATTGTTGTATGTCTTCTTTCAATCGGCAAATAAATGTATAGAAATGCTCTCTCTCCGTTTTGAAATCCTTTGCTTGCTGGACCATTTCATTCTCGAGATTAGTCAGTTTTTTCCTTAAGACTGTGACCCTTTCATCATACCTTTGTTTTAACTGGTGAGCAAACACTGTCAGTTCTTCTGAATTCTTAGCCAACTTTGCCCGGGCTCTTGCCAATTCATCCTCGGCCTTTGCCAGATCAAACCCATAGTCATGCACTTTTCTCCTCAGATTGCATATGAGTTTTTCGTCTTTTTTCGCTTCTTGCCAGGTTTTCAGCGGCTATTTTCATCTTTTGAATCTGAGCTTGTGTTGATACCCAATTTTTCCCTTATCTATTTTTATACTCAAAATATATTCTCAAAATAGCATGTACATGCATAAATAAGTATGCCCAATAATTTTTGACATTTTTCTAATTTTTAAAGCTTTTAAAAATCATTTTTTTTATTATTTTGTTTTAACAGTACAAAACCCAATAATTATTCCCAAAACTATCATTTTGGTGAGCAATTTATTTCCATCCTCCTATTTACATCACAATATAATTAAGGTAATTTTTTTGCATATTTTTTTATTAATCTATTTGATATTTTAAGCTAAAATTGCAATTATAGCCTATATTGCGATTAATAGCATCTTACAATTATAAATTACTCCCAGTATTTTTAAATTAACATTTATATATATTTCTAATTAATTCAGTGCTTTTAATTTATTTTTAAAAATTGTTTTAACTATTTTAATCAAATTAAAAGGGGAAAAATTGGCTATTTAATACATAGCCCATTGGTTTTTGATTATAGCCATATTAAACCCCCAATTTAAACTCAATTTTACCGGCCCAAATCCTAAAATCGACCCAACCCTGACCCAATTCATAATACCCGACCGTATTCTCCCTTCAATCACAACCGTTGATCTAAAAGATCAACGGCTCAAATTAAACCTTTCCTTTTTAATTCACCGACTACCCCCAACCCTAATTCATTTCCACCCTTCAGCCGCCCTTGAATCCCCAAATTCTCTCAAGGTTCTTCGGAACCCTAGCCTCCCCCTACCTTGTTCCACCGTGTTTTTACCAGAATCCATGGCTTCTCAGGCCATGGACAACCTATTCTCACCTCCTACGTCTCCTACATGCTTGTTGCTCGAAGGTTCGAGGCTAGACCTCGAGGGTCTTCACTCAGACCTTCACCGATTCGAGGATTCCGACAATCTCCGGCCTTGATCCGGTGGCTCTTGGTCTTCTGAGCCTGATTCTGACCTCATCCGACTTAGATCGGACATTTTCAAAGCCTTTCTCATTCTAGGGTTCATCTGAAACCCTAACTATCGAGGTTCTCTCCGATTATTTTAGATCTGTTATATGTTTGCAATATTGCTTAAGTTTCTTAAACGTTTTCTCCGATTTTCTTTCAAAAAATTACTTTTTTTCGATTAGGGTTTCTGGAAAAGTTTCTTGAAAATGTTTCTAACTCTTCTTTTTCTTCTTTTCTTGGAGTGAATCGATCCCTGCTATGTTCTTATTTGCTCTTTTCTGACTCGCATGCTTTTTCGTGTGTTCTTATATTTGCTGTATTATGAAGTTTTCTGTTGTGCTCCGTTCTGTCTCCTACTGGTTTCAATATCATGCTCTCACATGCCTATCTTATGTGTTCCTTTACTGTGTTTTTCTACTGAGTTTTAGTCCTTTGTTTGCCTTTTCCAGACTTTGTTCTTTCTAGATGTGTTTCATCGACTATTTCCTTAAGTTTACACTACCCCTTTATCTCCTGAACTCGTTTAAATTCCAAGCTTTCCTTGAAACTTGTTCCCTGTACTTCAAATTAGTTTCTATGTTCTATTTGCCTTGAACCTGCTATTGTGCTTGTATGTTTTCTCATGAGACTCTGAAAGAGGTCTCTGAGTCTGTTTCAATAGTTTGCCTTCTCATCTCTGTGTCGAATTCGAGTTTAAAAACCCTAAGACTTGGAGGTTTCTTTGGCAATTTTGATTTTGTGTTTGGACAGGGGTTCTACTTTGAAACCTTGAACTCTCAGACTCACTCCGAGTTTAGGAACTGAATTTGAACGTTTTCTGCGTTTGTGATTTTGAAACTTTCTTGCTAGTCTTTCGTAATTAGCATGGCATCCTTCTTGCTTGACATGTCTATTTGTTTTATATATGAGAGCTTCTCTTTCAAAGGTTTTGCCAACTGTTAATTGATTCTGAATCCCTTTAATGTTGCTTGCTTGATTGTTACTGATTTTCCCCTAAATTAAACTTTCCTTTACCACTTTTCTGACTCGGTTCAATCGAACAAGGCTTCCAACTTGGTTCTTTTACTGGCTATTTTACTGATTCCCTTTCCTTGTTTTTCACAAATCAAGTACCACTAGACTTTTACCTTAAATAGTTTTTATGTATTTACCCTTTATTGTAATGCTTGGGAAAATATACTGATTGACCCTTTCCTTAATTATCTTTACCCGTTGGAAATCAGAATCCCTTAATTGAAGGGAAATTGATTTTCAAAGTTATTTTCCTTACCTTTCCTTACTTACTTGCTGCACTATAAAAAGGGGCCTTCCCTTCTATACTTTCGACAATCCTCATTCACTGATTTTCGAATCACAAACTCTCTTGCACTCTTTACTCTCTTCTGAGATCTTTTGCATTGCTTGCTCGCAATTTGGCTTACCAAAGCTTCTGCTTTTCATTTATTTTTCTAAAACTGGTATGTCCTACTTTTGATTCTAGCATCAACTCCAATGTGTTTATTTACAAGATTTTATGCCCATGCCTATTTTACTGCTTTGTAGAGTTCAACTTTAAAGTAATACCTATGTCTTGCTATCTGTTGCTGCAATGAATCCCTATCCCCATCCCCCTTTTATGTGCTTGGGATGTAGTTTAAGACATGTCAATATACAAAGTTATTGTCATGGATTAAAACTGGGTCCTTTGGACCCTAGCCTCTTTCAATTTCCCATACCCCCATTCCCTTATGTGTATTGAGTTAAGGTATAGCCTGGTAGCATCCAAGTTGCTGTCCAGGGCTGAACCTGACCTTCAAAAGGTCCTAACTCTTTAATTTTTAAGTTGACCGGCTGGTCAGGGGTGTGTCAGCATTCCAGTTGCTGGGCATGACCACTAGCCTGCCCTGGCTCCCCCTAATTCCCTTTTATTGCACTTACACTTACTCCTAGTCTCTAAGTTCTGCCCCCTCCTATGAGCCTTGCCTTGGGACCTTGAGTTCCCTCCTCTATTTTAAAATGCAGAATTGGGACTCGCCCTGGGGCGGAGCATTCGTAAAACGCCCCTGGGCTTATGTGTGGGGCTTAGTTCCGTGAGACTTACGCCTCGGCCATTGGGACTTACGCCCCGGACACGCCCAGCGCCCAGCGTACTGGGCTCGCCTAATAGAATTTTATGCAATTGTATGTAACTAACCTTGTAAATCCTCAAATTTTCTTAATAACTCGTTGACTATTCAAAATTACTTTTTTCCTAATTATAAATCATTAATTTTAGACTATTTTATGTCATAATTAAAGTAAAAATTATTGCACGTTATCCACTAAGACTGCTATGATAGTTAATTTTAAATAAATCTTTCATTTTAAAAGTATTTATTTATTAATTTTTGTATGTCTTTACTATATAATAGTCCATAACTTTTTTATACTATACTTATTAATTTAATAGCTCAGTATTAGCAACTATTTACAAATAATTAGTTATCGTGGTATTGTATGGTGAATTATGTTTCACTTTATGAACTTGCTGAAACTTAAAAATGAACGATGCTTGAGAATCACATTTAAATTGTGAATTATATTTTTATATAAATTCTCTTTGAAATACAAAGCATATTAAATAACAGGTGTATTTAAAAAAATTTCAAATTATAATATCAAAATTCTTTCAAGATTCATTACTCCTTAAGAGATACATATAAGATTTCGCATCGAATATATTACTTTTGATGTTTGAGCAGTAA